GTGATTTTGGACGATCATCTAGTAGACGAAGCTCCGAATAGCCTTCCTTCGAGATCGACCCGAGTCGGGTAGCTCGGTTACCACATGCCCAAAAATATACTCAACATTGGTGAGCCGGTTCCAGAAGCTAGACAAGTGCAAAAACTGATGAGAACTCTACCGGACAGATTTGGGATTAAAATTACTGCACTAGAAAGTTTTCAGAGGATCCAGAAGCTTGGCATTGATGATCTTCTAAGTGAACTTCGCACCTTTGAAATCAACCATGGCTTTGACTCTATGAGGATAAGCAAAGGGAAAGGGCTTGCGTTAAAGGCCAAGGTTCGTACTACAGTCGCTGAGAATGAGGAATCCGATGAAGAATCGTTTGACCCTGACGAAATCACAAAGGCTCTTACCGTGCTTACCAAAAATGTTTCGAAGTTGAAGAAATTCCAGAAAAGGAGATTCCAGGGCAACAGGTCCTTTGAAGGTGGCAGGAACCAACTTCAGCAGTTTGGAGAAAGGAGGTCTGGCATTCAATCTAACAAGCCTCTGAATGCTAACCAAGGAGTAGAAAAAGACCAATGCCGCGAATGCAAAGGATTTGGCCACTTTCAAAAGGAGTGCCCTAATTTCAAGAAGAAGAATAAGACATTCAAGGCTACATGGTCCGATTCCAGTGATGACGAGGAGGATGAACCTGAGATGACTGAGAACTTTAACTACTCTAATAATTCTGCTAAATGCCTTCTTAATGAGTATAACTGTTTTACTTCCTCTGTTCATCTAACTGATGTTGCATCGGATGCAGGTTCTTACGCAAAAAACTTGAGCGAGGTAGACTCTAATAAATTCTCAGACCCTGCTGCCGAAAATCTTGTACTTCACAAGTACGCCATTGAAAAGTGTCTCAAGGCAAGGGATATCATCAACAAGTACCAGGCTCAGAAACAGAAGATGAAGGCGGTGGAACTACGTTATACCAAACGTGAAAAGGAGATTGAGTATCTTCGGAACGAACTTCAGAAGATGAGGGTAATGACTGTTGACTTGAACGAGAAACTCATCAGATCAGACCTTCTCATTGGAAAACAGGACAAGGACCTAAACAGTTGCTTCGCAAAGCTAGCACTGGTTGAGCATGGCGACAAACTCAACAAACAGGCCAGTGAAGAACAGAGTCTTACCATTGAATCTCTGCGCAATGAACTGTTTGCTGTTCAAAGTCTTGCTGGAGAAAGAGAAACTGAAATAATGGTTCTTAAGGAGGAACTCGGTCGGGTAATGGAGGAACATGTGGCACTTCAGAGTCACTGTTCTACCCTTGAAGAAAGAGTGCAAAAGAGTGAAGAAGTTGTTCGAATGATCAACAAGCCAAGGGCGTCATATGCTGAAGTTCAAAAACTGAGTCAGCAGATTGGTTCATCCAACCTAAGTAAGACTGTTCAGAACCAGAAACTGAAAGGGAAGGTGGGAGAATCAAGCTCTTCACTGAGTAAGGCAGATCTAACTTTTGTTAAAGAAGGATACTCTTTTGACTCCACGAAAGGTAAGTCACACTCTCCAAAGGTTCAGCACAAGAATACTGGTAAGAACTTTGTACCCGTTTGGCACTACTGTGGGATTCGCGGTCATATTCGTCCCAAATGCTATAGAATGCATAATGATATTTATACGGGTCGAATTAATAACTGGAGTCCTCATGGTGTTCCTGTGAAAGCTCCCAAATTGAAAATTGACATAGTGAACCATGAACAGAAAAAGATCTGGGTTCCTAAGGATCGTAAGAACCTATGTCTAACTTTTATACTTGCTTTGAAATCCACATCCAACTCTGATTGGTATTTTTATAGTGATTGTTCTCGTCATATGACAGGTCTGAGATCTAACTTGACCAATATTATGCCTGTCTCTTCCAGTTATGTCACTTTTGGTGATGGGGCAAAAAATAAGGTTCTTGGAGTTGGGTGCTTGAACGTTCCTGGTCTGCCCAAACTTAAAAATGTTCTTTTGGTTCAAAACCTAAAAGCAAATCTTTTGAGTATCAGTCAATTATGTGATCAGGGTTTGTATGTGAACTTTACTAAAACTCAGTGTCATGTGTCTGATCAAGAAAACAAACATGTTCTCACTAGTACTAGGTCCAGGGACAACTGCTATCTTGTGGAACTTGATTTGAAATGTAATAAAACCAGTGTTGATTTGACTGAACTATGGCATCAAAAACTAGGTCACATTAACTATCCTCACCTGATTGAACTTTCTTCCACATGAGCTGTTCGAGGATTGCCGAGGTTGAAAAAGGAAGAACCACGAATTTGCGGTTCTTGCCAATTGGGAAAACAGAAAAGGGCTTCACATAAGAGGTTGGCAGAGGTCAGTACAAACCGTGTCATGGAACTGATTCACATGGACCTGATGGGACCAATTCAGGTTGAAAGCTACAGCGGTAAGAAGTATATTCTAGTCTGTGTGGATGATTTCTCCAGATTTTCTTGGGTTGATTTTCTTAAAGATAAGTCGAAAGCACTTGATGCCTTCAAAAAACTTGCGTTAAAACTTGAAAATGAAAAACAAACCAATCTGGTGGCAATCCGGAGTGATCACGGTAAGGAATTTGAGAACCGTGGTTTTGAGTTATTTTGCGAATCACGTGGTATATTTCACCAGTTTTCTTCTCCTATCACTCCACAGCAAAATGGGGTTGTTGAACGTAAGAACAGGACCCTTCAAGAAATGGCGAGAGTTATGTTAGCATCTCAGGGCATGTCTTTAAAATGGTGGGCAGAGGCTGTGAACACGGCATGCCACATAATCAACCGTGTTTATTGCAGGAAGGGGACTGGAGTAACTTCATATGAGATATGGAAAGGTAAGGCACCAAATGTGAAATATTTTCACATCTTTGGGTGCAAGTGCTATATCTATAATGATAGGGAACACCTTGGTAAGTTTGAATCCAAGAGTGATGAAGGTCAGTTCCTTGGGTACTCTGCTAATAGTCGTGCATTTCGTGTGTATAATCTACGTACTGAGGTGGTTATGGAGTCTATAAATGTTGTTTTTTATGATGGTCTTGAATGTGCTGTTGTGCCTGAAGTGATTAACATAGATGTGTCCAGTGGTAAAATGTTGTCAAATTCTGAAACTGTGAATGTGCTAAATGATGTTAAGGCTGAAACCCTTGAACATGATAAAACTGAGGAGTCTAATGAATATGCTGTTCCAACATCCTCCGGAAATCTTGATGAATCTCGGCGAGATCCTCCAGCCAAGATTCAGAAAGATCATCCTAAGGATCAAATCATAGGAGGTCTATCTGAACGTAACACTAGAGGAGTTAAACCTGATTTTCGAAAGATGGCTGGTTTGTGTCACCTTGCATGTTATGTGTCTAAGTTGGAACCTAAAAATGCTAAAGAGGCTCTGTGTGATGATTTTTGGGTTCAGGCTATGCAAGAAGAACTTGAACAGTTTGTGAGAAATGATGTGTGGGAACTTGTCCCTAGACCTTCTGATTCAAACGTCATTGGAAAAAAATGGATCTTTAAAAATAAGACGGATGAATCAGGAGAGATTACTAGGAATAAGACCCGTCTTGTGGCTCAGGGGTACACCCAAGAGGAGGGTGTTGACTTTGATGAGACATTTGCCCCTGTGGCTCGGCTAGAGTCTGTTAGGATGTTCTTATCTATTGCGTGTTTGCTTGGTTTTGTGATTTATCAAATGGATGTAAAATCTGCATTTTTGAATGGCTTTTTGAAAGAGGTTGCTTACGTTAAGCAACCTGAAGGATTTGTAGATCCACATCTCCCTGACCATGTGTACAAGTTAAAGAAGGCGTTGTACGGACTTAAACAGGCTCCTCGTGCCTGGTACGAACGCTTAACTAAATTTTTGGTCAAAATGGGATATACTCGAGGGGGAGTTGATAAAACTCTTTTGTTAAAAAATCTAATAAAGATATTATCATTGTACAGATTTATGTAGATGATATTATCTTTGGTTCTACCTCGAGAACTTGGGTGAATGATTTTGTTACTCACATGTCTAAAGAATTTGAGATGAGCATGGTAGGAGAAATGTCCTACTTCTTAGGGTTGCAAGTTAAGCAATCAAAGGAGGGGATATTTCTTCATCAGACCAAATATGCCAAGAATCTTGTGAGAAAATTTGGTCTTGAAAATTCTAAGTACCCAGCAACTCCTATGGGGAGCCACTCTAAGCTTTCCAAGGATGATGCTGGAACTTCTGTTGATTCTACGCTTTATAGAAGCATGATTGGTAGTTTGCTTTATTTGACTGCTGACCTGATCTGTGTTTTAGTGTAGGGATGTGCGCTCGGTACCAAGCCAATCCTAAGGAATCGCACTTGAAGGCAGTGAAGCATATTATCAAATATGTGCATGGTACATCTGACTTGGGTATTTGGTACTCACGAGACACGTCTTCTAGTCTTGCAGGTTATAGTGATGCAGATTGGGCTGGGAACGTCGATGATCGACGCAGTACCTCTGGTGGTTGCTTCTACATTGGCAATAATTTCATCTCCTGGCTTAGTAAGAAGCAAAATTGCGTAGCACTCTCGACAGCTGAAGCTGAATACATATCTGCTGGAAGTTGCTGTTCTCAACTCATGTGGATGAAGCAGATGATGATTGAGTTTGGTCTAGAGGTAAGAACCGTGAACCTTTTTTGTGACAATACCAGTGCTATTAATATCTCTAAGAATCCGGTTCAAAATTCTAGGACTAAACACAGATATTCGCTATCACTTTATCAGAGACTTAGTTGAGAATGATGTGATTATGCTTGAGTATGTTTCTACGCAAAACCAGTTAGCTGACATCTTCACTAAGGCACTGGATTCTCAAAGATTCATTTCTCTAAGGAAATCCTTAGGGATCTGTTCATTCTGAATGCTTGTGTGACTTTGCATTATATTATATTGTATTGTATATTACTAGTAAGTATCTATTGCATTGCGTGTAAGCATATAGGGTATATTGCATTAGGCATATCGTGCATTTTGCATTCTCTTCACCACTGGATTCTTGATTGAAGTTCTAACTCTTCTGAAAACTTGAGAGGTGTTGATTGTCTAAGAGTGACTGTGTGTTCTTATGGTACCGAGGAACATACTTATTTTCTGTATTTTTTTTTGTCACAAAGAGCTGCCTTCTCATAAATGATCTAGAGCGATAGCTAGCACATGGTTCGTTTCCCAATGTGGGATCGACTGTGAAAAGAGCGTCTGGGACAGAAAATGTTGAGAAAGGGCGTAAGCTAGTGACACGCATTGCATATTACTATGTGATGTTCTTACTTGGAGCGATAAGGTGGCCATCCTCATAAAAAAATGTAGTGCTGATAAAAAAAAAAAAAAATAATAATAATAATAATAATAAAATGTGGAGGATCCTTGCTTAAAATCGTGGTGCAAAGTAGTGGGGTTGACTTTCACTATTGCAGTGATTGTTACTAAGTGAAACGCACTATGAATAATAAGGCATGTGTTCTTGTTGTGGTTCGCACTACCTTGTGTATATACATATATCCGTTTATCGTGTGTTCCTTGGGAAATCCGAATATCAAAGTTGATCTTGGGCTATTTCCATCGATTTTGTCTAAGTTGAGAAGGAAAAGATTTTTTGAATCTGGTGTATTTTGTGTGCGATTTTGTTACCTTATCTTTATTTCTCATAATTTAGGCATACTTGCATATGATTTCCTTTTTGAACATGATGTATTTGAGTCTAAAATTTTGTGAAGAATATATACTCAAGTATGAAATC